ACAATCGATATGGATGCAGGATAGCTCACGCTTCTTCAAGGAAGCTCCCCCAGCCCCCGCTTTCTTGAAGAAGCGCTCGCACTATTCATTTGGCTCCTAGATTTTAGGACTCATTTCTTTAGAGCTCACACACATTTGACACAGTTTCAGTCTTATCTGGAATTTTGTGAAAGGTAAAACACTGTACAACATGTTTCTTGTTTTAAAGGAGGCCATCGCTAGTATGTTGGAAGCCATCGCTAGTAGGGTGAAGACCGGTAATGGGTAGAGAACATTGTTTCTAATAGCAAACATTGTTACTACTAGTAAGGCACTTGTTACTACTAGCGTGGCACCTGTTACTACTAGCGTGGCACTTGTTACTACTAGGTGCTGAGAAAACATGGCGCCTTGGCATCGATGAAGCCTTCCTTGGCGTCGCGGCCTCGTTGGTCGTACTCCTGGCGTCGTGCAGCATCGGACAGCACCTGGTACCTCAGTCGAGTCCATTTCGAACGAGCAAAATACGAGTAAACAAGTGCCACGCTACTAGTAACAAGTGCCTTACTACTAGTAACAATGTTTGCTATTAGTAACAAGTGCATCTATTAGAAACATGGGCATCGCTACTAGGAGCAAGGACGCTACGAACGGGGCTCCTGGCCTTATAGAATAACAGGAAAAACACAGACCACCCGAGATCGCAACGCCTCGGAAATGGCCTGAAACCGTTCCTGTTGAACGTGTCTCAACAACGAAACGACACAGCAAACTTGTTTCTAGTAGCTTCTTGTTATTACTAGTAAGGCACTTGTTACTAGAAGCTTCCTACAGCAAAAAAGGCCTTGATGAATTGACTTTGTCGAACATTCCTAGCGATGGCCTCCAACCTAGCAAACATCGTTTCTTTCCTTTCTCACTTTTCCTCGCCTTGGCATTTTCCTCGCTGGTCTTGTCCGGATGGCACTGCCTTGGTCCGGAAAGAAGACGAGAAAAATGGAAGAAGTCGGAAGAAACTTTAGCTCCAACCTACTAGCGTTGGCCTCCAACTTGCTAGATGGAAGAAACTTTAGTCTCTTCCGTAAGTCTGTTCTCTTCCTGGTCTCCTGTTGCAGCTTGTCCCACAACTCTGAACGCTTCTGATCCTTGTCGACTCTCTTCGGATTCATCTTCTTTCGGTTCATTCTTTCCCACAACAGACTCAAGATGCTTGATCAACACAGTTTGTGTCCTATCTGAATCTTTCTACAACTAATTTCTACAACTCTTTACTCATTCTCTTCGCTCTTTTTCTAGTAACAAGAAGCTACTAGGAGCTCCTGGCATCGCTACTAGGAACAGGGACACTACTAGGCTACTACTAGGGGCTCCTGGCCTTACAGCTACTAGGAATTCTATAACTCTTTCTTTCTTCGTCTCAGGATGCGGCCGGGACTTCTGGAAGTAAGCTCTTCGAATCTCTTTCTGTGAGGCGTTCGTGGCCACCCCAAGCTGCGGCACAGTGAAAACGCGGTCGTTCCCGACGCATTTCAACCGAGTTTAACAATGTCATTTCCTCATTTCCTTCTGCGACTGTCACATGTCGATCTAAATTGCTAACGATTGAACAACTTTTGCCTAGCCTAACGGCTAGCATTCGCGTTCCGAAACACATGAAGAACACACTCAAACCAAAGGAATAAGAACAAAACAACTACGCTTTAGCAGCTTCGTCAAATGACAAACAACTATCGTTTCAACTTGCGATTCGTGTTGTGCCTGGTCGTAATAAAAAGTATCGACCTCAGTTCGGGGCCTGGCACCTAAAACCCCGAGAGGGCCAAGGGCTTCGCTACCAGGAGAGGGCATCGCTACTAGGAGCGAGGACGCTACTAGGGGCGCTCCTGGCCTGACTACTTATTAACAAGGATGCTACTGCCTTACTAGTAGCAAATCATGCCTACTACATGCCTGATGGACGAATTAATCAAGCCCCTAAACCACATGCTAGGTCGCCCCCGATTGGCTGCGAGGGCCAAGGACGCTACGAGGAGCAAAGGGCATCGCTACTAGTAGCTCCTGGCCTTACTACTGGGAACAAGAAGCTTCTGGTAACAAGGCACCTTACGACTAGCAACAAGAAGCTACTAGTAGCTCC